TGGTGTGTGGAAGGTGTGCGGAAGAGGGGGTAGTCTTATACGGCGAGTATATAACAAACTCTGTATTTTGAGTGGAAATGTTAGGGGGTGGTCTTATACGCCCAGTCGTCTTATACGCTGGCAAATACGGTACTAACCTACTGAGTATCACAGCTGAGCCTGGAGCCCGGCCCACGGTGAGCGTGACAGGACGCTCATATTAGCCCATAGTTGGGCAATATCACCTCGCCATTATTGTGCAGCATCGCAAAAGTATCATGGGGCAAATCGCTGGCCTGGGAAAAGATCAAAACTCAAAGTACAGTTTCTAGGACCGACCAAGTGGTGCATTGGTTGGGAGCTGGCTTGGGATGCCAGCTCTGAGCAGCAGGGCCCCAGTTCGGATCCCACATAAGGGCCAGTGACACTGCCCTCTGCAGCTAAGATGGTGAACGGCAGCTTGACCTGGAGCTGGGCTGCCGTGGGTCGCCGACGACAGCATAGGCTGCAGCCCCTGCTGCAGTGGGCTGCCATGAGCTACCCTGTGTGGCCAGCAGCCAGCATGAGCAGCCAGCAGCCATTGTGAGCTGCCAAGAGCCGCTGTAAGCAGCCGTCCAGAGGCTGGCGATTGATCTGCCTCACCCGGGAAGAGCGCAATGATAATACCAACATGGGCCAGTGAAGCGACGTCCTCCACAACTAGACTGAAGAACAAAAAGGACGGCAACTTGTCTGTTCCCTTTCCACCGATTTCCCAGCCCTGTTCCCCTCCCCTAATTCCCCAATAAAATCTTTAAAAAAAACCAAAGTACAGTTTCTATTGAATGCATATTGCTTTCGCACCACTGTGAAGTCGAACCACCATTAAAATGGGGACTGTCTGTATATCCAAAGAAAGTCATTTTGATTCAAAAAACTAGAAAAGAGAGGGAAAACAGAAAAAACCAGAACAGAGTATCAGAGACCTGTGGGATCATACCAGATAACTAATACATATAGGTAATTGGGGTCCTGGGGAAAAAAGAGAGAAGATGGGCAAAAGAAATACTGGAAGAGATAACAGCAGTAATTTTCCAAAATTAATGAAAGATATCAACCCACAGATCTAAGAAGCTTGGCAAATTCCAGTAGGATAATACAAAGACATCGTCAAATAACTTCAAAACACAGATAAAGAACTTTTTTTTTTTTAAGATTTTATTGGGGAATTGGGGGAATGGGAACAGCGCTGGGGAATTGGGGGAAGGGGAACAGACAAGTTGCTGTCCTTTTGTCCTTCAGTCTA